ATAATCTCAACTAGAAACTTAAACCCTAAACATGACACATTCACCATATTCTCGTTCAGGAATTACAATAAAAGACCACTGATCATTAACATACCTAAATATTATATGTTCATATATATATATATATATATATATATATATATATTCAGCTAAATGCACGCTTTTCCATCTCTCTAAAATCTCGATTTAATTATGGGAAACCTATCAAACGGACTTACTCTGACAAGATGGGAAGCAGGCTGATCAACCTCGATTTGATCTGCTGCAATTCCCCCTGTTCCGCGGATGGGGTTCCTGGCTCGTTCCTCAAACCGTTATCCTCTTCCGGTTTGTCTCGTGTGGGAACACTTTCGACTCCCATTGTCTGGAGAACATGATCCACTTCGGGAGTTTGACTTACACACCACACCAGACGAATCAAACGATTCATGTACTGCTCCAATGCACGTCGACGTTGTTCCACTCGACGCGATTCACCCGCCGCAACCGGATAGTCCACATAGGCCGAATGACATGTGATCCAGTCACTGGAGTCCTTCAGACAGGCAGGAAATCGACCGGCTGCTAGGCTGGGTATAGTTGGCAGTACCCGTTTGCGTGGGAAACGAAAATACTCCAGGCCAGGCAACGGACGAGGGAGACACGTGTGTGCCAGAATCAAACCCGAGGGCTTATGCTCTTCGGTCTTTTTCATTTGTTCCACAGTCTGATCCGGATCGTCCTCCTCTGCAGTTCCCGGCACCTTTTGTCCCATCAAATCCGCATGTAATGATTCCAGTGTGGTATATCTGTGGCCCACTGTCCATTCGAGACGAGAAATACTGTGCCAATGCTCAGCCACGTTTTGTTGATCTCCAGCTATGTGCGACGTTTTCCATATGGTCACACATATCATGTATACGAAATAGACACCTTTTGTGCGATGTTTACGTAACACCACTGTGGGAATGCGTATGAGAAAAGGAAAATCAGTTGCATCATGGCATCCACCTTCCCAGTCGCCCAAGTTTTCCACCGATTCTAAGCTGCTGGCTGATGCATGATGCTCCGCGGAACCGCATGATGATGATGGTGATTCAAATCGATCTGCATCGTTCATCGGATTGTAGCCTCGTTCAGGACAAGATGTCATTCTTGTGCTTCGATTGGACCGGATTAAAAATGACCAGTTTCTAAAGAAAGTGGTTGGGAGTCATGATGACTTAACCAAATAAATTATGGAATATATGTATATTCAGTGATGATTATGATAAGAATCGTCATTCTGAGTTCACACTGTTCTCGTCAGATTTTCCTTCCTCTTATCACTTTGGGCATCTCCTCCGAAAGTTGATTCAGGTATATGAACTTAAAAGAGAAAATTCGTTGTGCGCCTGAATCAGTCTGTTTTGAAGTGGCCATAATTAATAATTAGATCGGTCACCTTTGACGATTTTGCAATCCACAATGAGTGGACAAAATGAAGTCATTTTCTATAAAAGTCTGTCCTCCATAGATACCATGGGTTTTGCGATTTTGCATGCTCTACAAAGCCATTCCTCGCATTGTAAACTGGATGAAGCTACAAGCAGTTTCAAACACCCCCCCCCGGCGATTTTAGTGTCGCAAAAGAGGCCGTTCAGGGTTCATGATTTATCTGGTATTCTAAGTCATTAGTGACGCCATTAGTGACTTACTAATGGCGTTCAAACCATTTAGATCAACGGCGTCCACGGGAGCCAAATTCCTATCCTACTCTATCCGCCATGTGGTGAACGTGGCTTTGGCTGGCCCGAAACTCCGGGAGTGGCCTCTCAAGAAAGAAGCCTGATAGGTCCTGGGTAATCTTACACCACAAATTATTTACATAACAAGGCTTTACAACGAGTCTCAGTTGGAATCGAAGCGTTTTAGTGTTCTTTCGGGGATAGAGTGCGCTGGTACGTAAACAGCAAACAGAATCACAGCTTTCGGTCGAGTCACACACGGTTTTTGTTATAACCAACCTAATATATGCGGGGGTTGGGGTGAGAACCGCGTAGCAAAAAGTACATGTACTCAGTCACACATGGCATAGGTGTAAGAAGATAACCTGGTGGCGGGTAATATATGCAACAATAAGTTAATGCGGAATACTGGAGCGTAAATTGTCCAAAAAGCAGGTTATACACAAGAAATTGTCTGATTTGATTCTACACCGATCTTGAAGACAATTCGGTTTTTTTTAGTCAAAGTAAATGCATTGAGACAAATGCGTTCACGTGATTTAACTCTAATTACCAGTTATCATTGTCCGGCAATTTTCCCCTCATCAAAGAATTCCTTCAAAGAATGATCAATATCTAGCCAAAGCTAATACGTTCAGTTATCCGCAAACATGATCGTGGCTTTGAAGTTTCTCTGTGCTATTTAGAAAAGCATCCGTTTTCTCTTCGATTACAAGAGGAGGAGGGAGGGGTGTATGTGGGCTCCTCCAAACGAGAATTTTGACTGGAACACAGTGTCTCATACTGTAAAGCATATAGTAGTAGTCTGTCATTCTATCTGGTTATTAGTGAGGGTGTTGAAAAATCGACTGTCTCCACTAATCCTCTAAATGTGTGTTATCATCAATCTAAATGGCCCTGTAGAGCCGACAGCCTGTAGTGATTGTAGTAATAGTAACAGTAATGCGCAATACGAATCACGGAACATGAATCACGGATTATCAATTACGGACTGAATCACGTAAGCACTGAACCGCACTGGCACTAGTACGCAATATCCCATGGAACTGAGACGCGCTGAAAAGGCTACAGGAATGGTGGTTCATTTGTTGGAAGAAATGAGGGGATTGAATAATATGTACAAAGTAGGCTCATTGGTTATCTGGGTTTCTACCAAACGTCTTCCAGTATTGCTGGCATCATTCTGATTCTATCTGGGCCGCACGATCTCTGATTGGCTGGTACGATCTACCTTTGGTATGAAGTCAGAAGCAGTGACACGTACGCGCGTTGTTGACGTCACTCGTGAGATTTGATTGATCGCATTTGTTCAAGGACTGTTACATGGTAATTAAAGGTCATCTACAAGGCCCCCAAAATAGTTGGGATCGCGCTAGTTTCGTTTCAGTAATACCATGCTGTTTAATTTTGCTGCATACCAAGCAGCACAAAGTGCATCCGTGTCTCAGGGAATTAAGTTTGAGACAAACCAACTTCGAACAATCGGTGTTGAGATTCTGCCTTAGTATTATTTGGTCAGACGCGTCCGACTGCGGCAGACTTGACATCGGGGCAGATTTTCGGTGTTTATATGAGAAACAGAGCAAACGAATGACTGACCAGAAGCATACAAGCCGTTACGCGGTCGTTTGTGTTCGTCAGGTATGCTCATCCGGCAAACTGTCAAGTTATTCTACTTATTTGCCGAGATCAGGCGCATCTAACGCAAGAAACCTAACAAGAAATCATTGCAATTTGATTCTATTTTAGGTTAGTTTGTCTCCATTCAACTTTCTGAGATAATAACCAAGTTCGCTTAATTTGTATTGGGGAAGAAAATGCATAGGAATTATTTGATACAGAATTAAGATGCAAGCATACCTGATGAGCTACAAGGATTGTGAAAACAGCTGCGCACCTAACTACTTTCAACTACGTACATACGAGTATATATTATCTGATTTGAAAATGAACTAAATATTGGAAAAGTATGGACAGCAATTTGCAAAAACAACTAGTGGTCTTTTTCAGACAGAAAATTGATCGTCTTGTTTCTGCAAACCATGCGTGTTTCATTGTTCATTTTTTCGGCGTTTGGCCTCTTTTTATCCCCCCCCCCTAAGCCTGCAACACTGCGTGTCTAAAGGAATTTGACCGTTACACTATGCCTTCTCCTGGTTTCTATAACCAGGATAAGTAGGATTTGTGAAAAGGCTGTTAGGCTCTTTCGGTCTTATCTTTATATCCGATGTTTCACATTTTTAGCATTTGAAAGGAGTATGCAATTTGAAACCACTTAGAGGAATTCGTTGGTAGATATCAATGTTCAAAGTGATATAGGAGAAGGATTTTCTGCATTTTATTAGACAACCCATTCATCTATTTATTTTTCTATTTTCTCAAAACGTAACACACAATGATAATACCTTGATACCACCGATTATCATTATCTCATTTACACATACAGTCAATCAACAGGAAGAGGAGACATGTTGAGGAACGGTAGGTAACGCAAGTCGAAACTTCATTCTAAACGGAGAGAGAATTCCGATCAGCTAGTTTGAGTGTGATCAATAAATCAATAATAATCAGTTCTTTATTAACCTAAATCTACTAAAATATTCCCACGTCTGAGGAACTCGTAGGGGACGATGATCTTGCATTAGAGTAAGCTATTTTTGGGCGATGCACAATCATTAGTGTTGCATTTAGTGTAAAACCCCGGTCTGAGTATCTTCGATGAGGAAGAACACTATTGATCGAAATTAAACGGACTGACTGTAATCTCACCGAATCGATTTACTCACAGTGGATACAGATCTATGGTGAACTTTGGGGCGAAACAAGTCTCACAAAGTCGCCAATAAATCTGACCCGTGACATGCGATCCGATGAGTTGTCATCACTTGTACGATCTATTGCAGCCTGATCGGGAATTTACCTACAATCAGAAAACACCAGTGGGTCTATTGTGTCTAATGATCACTGCACTAGTCACCGCAAGTCGGTCCGCCTGGCACGGTGACCACGATCCCCCCGCCTTTTAATTCTCATGTTAAACGGTGGCGGATGAAGCAACTCTCTGTGATCGTTTGGTTTTCTTCATATGGTTTTACTGTATCGGACTACTATTCCCCGAATGATACAGTGGAACACAATAGTTTGGTTGGTGAGTGTACTAGTAATAGTTCAATCCGATTCTAATCAGTTAGTGAAAAAGAAAGAACAAAACAGTAAAAAATGAAACAAAAAACGTAATAAAGAGAATGAATTGTGCAATATAAAACTTTTTAATCAGAAACTGATGCACGTATTCATCTATTTACCTTTGTACTGATGATCCCCGGTTATTTCAAAGTTGGATTGCCGAGTTTGGGGAATCTCGGGTGTTTTCTTTTGCCCAAATTTGCTGTCAAATGGAAGACAATAAATGGTAAGCGGGACAAAACCGAAAAGTGATGTTGCTTGAACTTTATTCATTCTTATCATCTCATCACGAATGCAAGTACAATGATGGAATATGTCCAAAATAACTTCTAACCGATGTTTTTNTGACGGGACCGGAGTCAGCGTCTACCTGACACAGGGTTATTCCTGTCCATAGTCATGTAATTAATCACTGCAGGGCGAGATTCAACGCAGTCAAGGCTTAGTGAGACACGTGAAGTTAGCACGTTTCTCACCGAGTTTTAGCGTTTTCTAAAAATTTGCTAGCAATAAATTTCGCACTGTTCCCACGCTTGATGTCAGCGCTCGTTTGGCTATACACGGATTACGTGGTTCAAGTATGTACAGTCCTGGCCGATTGTGATGCACTAAAGTATTTTCTTTATGATCAAATGGAGTTTCATTATATTTATCACTTGTATAAATGCTTAAGGTATATATATTTATATCTTGTCTATTTCGATCTACGTAGTTTCTAGGCGGCATGATTGTCAATTAAACGTGCCTGACCTTGAGTGCCAAGATTAAATGATCTCAACATGAAAACAGCTAACTTTATCAAGTATGACAAGGCAGTGTTTTTTAATAGTAATGACTCAAGAATTATCCCAAATTATTTCCATAAATTCTTGCCATCTCTTTTATTTGTTATGAGGCATTATTTTATTCCATAAATAATTCATTATAGCAACTCTATTGGATAACCAAATGAAATTCTGTCAAGTATGGAATCCATGGTTAAACCTCCACAAGAAGGCTCTAGAATATCTGCAAAGGCTGGCAGTAAAATTTCTGAAAGGTCTGTATACCAAGACATACTCCAAAGGGCTGCAAATAACCCCACCTCGGGGGGGACCTAATCTTGACATATCACATACTGCATCAACCCAACCACCCTTGGCGTCCTACGCTAACTTTATCTCAAAATGACCACCTCAGGGGTTATCCACTAAAGTTGAAGACCGAGAACAGCCATTTTGATTGCCAGCATAACTCGTTT